CAAAACTTGATTTGATTTGATTGATTGTTTGCAATCAATAAATGCAATTGGATAGAAGAAAATAAAATTTTAGGTTGTAAATGTAGGTTAGTGTTTCTAATTGATTTTAGGCCAGCAGTGAAGGCCTTAATGGCCCTGACAGCCCGCCACTCGCTCGTAATACTAACTCAGTTTTTTATGATGATGCTCTTGCCGATTGACGGTTTTCCATTTTTTCTTTTCCTTATCACTGTTTTTAGTGCAGCAGAAGCAATGATTTGGAGTTGAAGGTGTTGTTGTGCTTTTTTTTGGCTCTGTGGCTCACTTCATACATTAAATAATTAATTATTGTTTTGTTTTTGTTTGTGTGTTTCGTTTTTCTAAAACTGAAAAATTACTGGCCCTACCCCCTATCAATGTTTATCTGAAGTATTTACATTAAACATAGAAAACACCATTTATGATTAGATTCATTATTAATATATTTTTTTTGAACCCCACAAGCAAACCACCGCTGCTGTTGAAGGCAGCTATTATTAGCTCCATCTATAATCAATAGTAAAATCATTTTATCTTTGAAGAATTCTAAGCATGATTTCAATTCAACCCGCTTGGTTCCCAGAACTTGTTGAAATGGGTTTTTGCACTGAATAAAACACTGAGTTTCCATGGCAGCTGAACAGTATCACTAAGAGTCCTTTATTGAAATCATGGTGGGGAAATGTTGGACTGATCTGTTGTCTCTGTTGGTGTGTCACTTGATCAAATGAGTGCATTTGATCGGCTGAAACCCACAGCACTTGCTGTAGGGTTGCTGGCCTGAGTGATCATACAAGCTCAACATATGTGAAGACAAATTACAGCAGCTCAGTTTTTAAGGCCATTTCTTTAAAGGTGACATCAAAGTAAAAAAGAAAATCAAATACATAATTGCACAGGATAGAAATATGATTAAAAATTAAATGTCTGATTGTAATGAGGCTATATTTCTCTCATGCTCTAGGTCTGGTGCCACCAGATGTATTTACTTTTAATTATTATCTTTTTGAGAGTATATGTAATTCATCGTAATATGATTAGTGCCTAAACTTGAAACATTTCACGCTCCTTAGATGCTCCATAAAAATAAAGTAGATTGGATTAGATTACTTTTTAATATTAGATTAAATGTTCACTTTTTGCTGAAAAAAATCAGAATAACCTTTTTTTGCACATGAGCTTACTGTGTGTTAGGATTGTCTGTTCATTTTGCACTAAGTTACTTACACTTTAGTCAGTTTGATTTGCTCATTTCTGTTTGTGAAGAAATAATATAATCATATAATATCTAAAGCTGATGAAGGAAGGCTCTGATTACACCTAGCTGACCAAAGGTAGCAGCTGGGGTCACTAAAATAACACTTCTAGGCACCAAGTGATGCCATGTTCTCTAAATATTTTTGACTTTTTTCAAAACTTAGAAATTATCGTTTTATGCTTTTAAAGCTGAGTTTGTAGATAGTGAAATCCCTCAGAGCTGTGCTGCCAAGTGTCCGCAGGTCTCACCTCCAGCAGGAAGCGAGGACTCTCAGGCATAAAGGTGAGTCCAACCAGAGAGGCGATGGCCGGAAGAGCAGCGATGAGGACAAAGACCCTCCAGCTGTGGAACTGGAGCTCTGAGCCCATACTGAACCCCCAACCTTTATAAACAAAGACACAATGACAGCCAATCAGACAGGAATGCCTCTCCTCTGCTCTAAATCATAAGTGAATCAAATTTAAAAGATGAATATGTAAATCAGGAAACTGAAGTAGAGTTTTTTTTAAATAAAAAACTGTAGATATCAAATGTTTTTAAGGATTAGGTTGAAATAGGGATTCTGTAACTTTTGGGTTCATCAGAGTGATTCTCCAACCTGAATATGAATGTCTACACAGTTTGTGTCCAGGATCTGAGGTGGCAAGTAACTAAGTACAGATATTTTGTACTTAAATATTTTATTTGCTATCTGTACTTTACTTGAGCTTTTTATTTTCTGAGGACTTTTTACTCCCATTTGAACACAAACAGAAAAATCTGTTTCACCAAACTGGGTCATTACTTCTATATATGTTGATAAAGACATGACATTACAGCTGAAACAAAACGGGTGAAATAGAGAAGATAATGTGTCCAGTTGGAGGCATATGGGCTGGAAAACACTATTGATGAAGGATCACCATTTCCATCCCCCGCCCTTTATCACATTTTACATGTAATTCAACTTGAATGCGGTAAATAGTTTACCATAAGATCCACTTCTTTATTGATCATTAGCTATGAATACTGTTCCCACAGCCAATAAACCAAGCTGGAACAAAGGGAAATGTCAGCTCACAACAAAACGTTATGAATCTAAGCTTTTGAAGTAATGTCAGTGTTCATTTATGGTTCACAGTATTAGATGCTGGGGAAGATTCTCGGTCAACCATGTCAAAGTCATTCCAAAAAAGTATAAAATTCAAACCACTGGACTTTGTTTTTCCAACTTGAAGACATTTCTCTTACCATCCAGAAAGCTTTCTCAATTCAAATTGTCTGGAGTGGCGTTGAGATCCAGGCTTCTAAAATGGCCCATTTCCCAGTCATCAGTGCCAGATTATTCTTGAGTCTTTAGTGTGAGAGTTTTCTAGCGTTACTGATTGTGTCGTGATTGCCTGATCCTGACCCGTTTCTTTCTTCTGACCTTTGAGCCTGCCAGTCCCTGCTCTGATCTGTTTGCCTGACCTGACCTCCTGTTGGATTCTATTAGTGGACTGTACCTGGATCTGCCTCTGACTTTGCCCTGTGGATTATCCTGCCTTCAGTCACCTGCTTGGATCTGATCTCCTGCTTGTTCTGCAGTCTTCAAGGTTCAGGAACTATCTGTGCTGCAAATTCTATGTCTTGTCAGCCAACCGGCTGGAGTCTACCACCTTCTTTGGGCACGGACTGAACTGTTAAACCAGGTTAGTGACTCACGCGTTCATAATCATCCTCGGTAAGATTATTGTGGTCACTAACCTGTTCTTCTCTCCTGTAGAGGTTGCTACTTTAGATGCCCTAGCTGCTGCTACTGCAGATTCACAGATCGGTTGTTGTAATAAAGGCTTTTAAGTAATCCCACTGTCCGTCTTGCCTTGAATACTGGGTCCTCTGTTCTGAGCCATGACAAGAGTATTATTTTTAGTGGGTTTAGTAACGTTTTTCTCAATGAACATAGTGAATCAGCATCTTTGAATGTCCTGAATAAGTATCACCCCTTTTTGTACATCAAAAAGTGAAACCTTGACAGGTCACCACTCCATCCAAGGGCAAACAATCCTCACACACACTCATATCTAAGAGTCATTTTGGAAGACTTAAATATTTCTGGAAACTTGGGGTATCCAGAGATTAGAGCTACAGTAGCCTGATCTTGTGATGTTTCCTGGTCAAAAGTTATGTCTCATTAAGCACAGCTGATACACTGAGCTGTTGGTTTTGCAGGAATGGCTCCTCCTGCTTCCCTCAACAAAGATTCGTACCGTATCTGGGGATGATTCCCCACGCAGTGAACGATGCATAAATCCCTCCAATCATCCAGAACATGCACAGCCAGGACAGATGCTCCCCTCTCTTGTCCATCTGCAGGAACTCTGAGAAGTAGGAGTAGACGATGGGGACGGTGCCACCGATCCTGACAGCAGAGACATCCAAAGAAGAAAACAGAGTGCAGTAAGTGAAGGGTTTTCACTGGAGAAGCACAGGGCAGGGAAACAGATAACAGCCAGATGAAGGATAAATCAACCTTTGTTTAAAACTGTTTAAAGTTAAAACAAAATATTTCAGACTAAAGACCAGGATGGTTTAACTTTTTCCTTTAAAATGCTCACTTTTTTATCTTTTCTGTGCATAAAACTGATGCTGCGTGAGGTTTAGCAGGCAGACTTCAGACAGTGCTCACTGTACTGAGCTCAGTCTGTGTGACCTTGATTTTGAGTCCCTGCAGAGTGCAGTTATTCTAAGAGCTACTGTGCTGCATCACTGCAACCCAACACCGGCCCAGCTGCAGCTGCAGGTCCATGCATCTCTGTTGGGCACAGCGCATCTCTGTTTGGATTCTCACTGTTGCAATAAAAGGAAGCAGAAGCATACTAATCTTGTTTTATTTTTTATAAATTACTACCAAGAAAATAATTTGAGCGACATATTTTAAATATTAAGTTTGGGTTGATGTACAGTATAGAAGAACCTGGGATGGGTGTTTAATCTGAAGAATTAGGAGGTAGAGTCTTTACCACAAAACGGTTGTTGTTCCTGAATTAGTGGGGAGAAATATTATTAAATGATTATGGCTCATTAACAATTGTTTAATAACACAGATTTATTAAAGTTCTACATCATAGAAGATATGGGTGAATGTAGAACCCAGGTTTTTTTGCTGTTCTTCTACATGGTCAATATTTGATGCTCTTTTTCTTTGATGTAGGAGTTTAGAATGGGATAGATTTCTGATTGGGCATCAAACTGCAGTACTCTGTGTTCTTACACCTTTCTACCAGAACCAATCAAAGCTGGGTCTCCTTTGCATTGGATCAACCACCGCCACCCTGTTGGTCATATATAATTCTATCTCTGCAGTTCATGAACACTGCAGACCAGGAACATCAAGCTGGATCATATCTGGAGAGACGTAAGAGCAACAGCTGTGACCTTTAACTAGAGATTAACCGATACGCCTTTTTAAGGCCAATACTGATACCAATTAATTTCATATCAGTCAAACCAATCAATATATGTTTTTGAAGCTTATATTTCATTTTCTTCCACCATTTAAACAACATTAAAATGACTTATTGTTAACAAACCTTTATAAAAGGATCATAATTGCATTGTTTGGCTTTTTCTTTTATTTGTATTGCTGTAGCTCATATTTAGTTTCAAAAAGGCAAATCAGATCACCATCAGGCCGGTCGATTGGAGCATTTAATTTGATCATAATCCACAGGATTCTAGTCTTTTTGGTAGAGGCATATAACATGACCATGTGTGTTAAACAAGTTAAAGGAAATATTTATATTCAATAGCAAATGGAGGGAGCAGGAACGTGAGCTTTATAAATCTGAAGGCATGGCTGCTGAATGCACTGATGATACTACCCAGAGTGGGTCAAGATTTCTGGGATCAGTTTTCCCCTGTTTGATTCATCATATTCAACCTTCAATCCAGCAGGTGACCTGCATAAAATAAGAACTCACTGCTGGCTTAACACTTTACTCCCAGTGACA